CATCTTTGAATATTTCTACCACAGTCACATTTTTAGGTGATGGCGGAGGTGCTAAAAACAGATAGGAATAACTAAACTTACAAAATATCATTCTTAAAGTCATGGATTTTCGGTATTATTTCTTTTGTGTTTCATTTGTACCCTCTGTTCTTTTTTACCTGATTTTGGCAAACTATTATTGGGCATTTTTATAGGAAGCAGTTGAGTCCACTGTTTTATTATTGCGGGTTGTCATTTTTCGAATCGATATTTCTAGTTTTTTATTGAATTGGTCCAAAAGATTAAGCTGAATGACTTTTAATTTAGCTGAAATAAACCATGATTCCTTTCCATCAGCCCGATAACCTCAATTTCGACTCAGTGTATAATTAAGTCGTACTCTGATACGGACTAGGGAAGCGCGGGAGACGTAGCGGTGAGAGCGCTCGCCTCTCAGCAATGCGACCCGGACTCGCTGTCGTATGTGTGTTAGTTGTGCTTCGAGGGTTTTTCTCTTGGCTCTAGGTGGTAACTGTTACCTAGAAAGGTATCAAATATCGTCCTTACTCTTAACTCTTGTTATATTTTAACTTCAAAGGGGGGTTGACTAGCCATTCAATTCACCCCCCTCCTCCCCACATGGACCCGACCTTGAAAACTGGAAACATACCAGTGAACCTTTTGCTTTTCTAAATTGAATCCCAAAATTCGACGTAAACGTGGTGACCAGCCATCCAATCAACCCTCTGGATCCACCCTCTCTACTTCAAATATAGTTCCTTACATTTATTTAGTTCCATAAACTTGGGATCTTTATCCACTTGAAGTCCCTCCACCCATCCTGTCTTTGCTTTATTCAAAACTGTTTCAGTAATAAGAACTGTCCTTCTAGTCACTGTGCTGCCACCTTCATTATTTTTCACGACGACAACGACGACAACTCGATAACGCACTCTAACACTGCCATTACTGAAATACATAATATTGAATTTGATTAGAATCCTTATCCCAAGATCACTTTTTTAAAAGCAATTATGATCTTCAAAGTCATACTCACAAAATTTCTAAAATTTCTATTCCGGCGTAGCCATCTAAATTATTGAAAACGATCTTCATCTGGAAATATAATGTTCAAGAGTAAGCGGACAACGACCTTGATTAATTCTTGGGGAAACTTCTTACCAATACGGCGCTGGAATAACATAGCCCCTATACTACTTCTTAGGCAAACAGCATTGATGCTTTCTATTTTTCCATTGACACATCTAAAATATAAGGTCTAAACATATGGCATGGCCCATTTTCTGTGTAGGAATGTTCGTTTAACGCATCTTCGAGCAAAAAAGAAGCGGCTTTATCTCACCTGTTCTTCGAAATATTTTACGAAATTTTCGTACTCAGGTGATGTTTGATCTTCTAGTTCTTTGGTGAAATTGCGGTTTAAAATACGCAAAGCCATGTAAACTTTAATTGTTACTATAAAGAAAAAATGAAGAAAAAAATCGATGTCTTGTTCGATGAGTATTGTATTAATACTGTCCCTAGTTGACTATATAACATGAATACTGCTGTTTCGAGTTCTCTGTTGCTCAGGCTTAGCCTCGATTTTTCTTGGAATATTGGTGTGTTTTAGTGAAGGCCCGTGGAATTTCAAAGTGTTTGTATTGTGCCGACGTCGACAGCTGGTCTATATGTTATGTACTCACAAGGCGTAACTGATTTATTAAGTCGATGTTTTTTGTAGGCTATGTCGTTAATTATGAGTATGAAGCAATATGTGCGGAGACAGGAAACTCAGAAGAAATTTCTGAGTTCAGTAGGAAATTGCTGGAAACCACGACTGACCTTCCGTGTTCTAATCGGAAGCTCTAACCACTGAGCTTGTTATTATCTTACCTTGTTAAACCTTTCAAAAAAACTCTTCTCCATCACGGGGGTTCTAGAACAAAGGTACCTGTCAATATCAATCCACTGGATCCCAGTTTACAAATGAACTTTCGTTGGCTCTCAGTCACGAGGGTTGATAAGCGGCCTTGTGGACTATTATGTAACTGTCCTGTAAAAAAATTCATAACGGAAACAGAGTTAATGCATGGAATGGACCTTACTCAAACGTATCGTGGATTCGAGGCTAACATGAAAATACAAAAGAAATCACACTTTTTCTGGATGGAATTTGCGTCATATCTTTTATACTTCCATGTTAGTCTCACATTCAAGATAATTTTAAGAAGAATGCATTGTTCCGGCAAATTGTTTTTGAAACTATAGATTGTAGACTCATGACACTCACAGTAGATATTCAAGATAAATATAAACGTTACATTTGTCAGTGGGCCGGTATAACACCCACTAAGATGAAGAAACCAGGTAACATACATTATTGAAAACGGAGGATTCAAATTCTGCTTTATTGGCGATTGCATGCAGTGACCGAAAGTAACCACGGTGAAACGGGAACTGTGGGCATTCATCTAAACCCGAATAATTGAGGCGTTTAAGTGGTTTCGTCGACTACAAACAACACTAAATATATTAATATTCAAGGCCTCTGAAACACAAGTCATCTCAGCTATTCTTGGATCTTGCAATAACTAATATCAGTCTTCTATCGCTTATCGTCTACCACTTGTTACCTACTATCGCCTTTCGCCCCTCCAATCTTTTTTGAAATAGCTATAGGTGGATTTGTGTTAATTAAAAATGATTTTCCATCGAAAATTGAATCCCAGATACAATTCAAAGACATTTAAGTCATAATGGTAAATTTGTACTTCAATTTAAAACATGCACGATTTATCGACGAACCTGTAATGATTTATCGATTACAGAAGCATTCCACACGTTATGTCAGGTTCAGATTGGTTTTTTTTCGAGATCAGCCGACTGAATTCATGTAACAAATGCTTTTATAAAAACACCAATTGCAGTGAATGGAGTTTTAAGAAGAAGATGCACGTGAAACCGGAAAAATGTTCATAATTTTGTTTGTGATCGCGAGTGTTTTTTACTTATTAGAAGCAGTTTAATCATGCTTGTTCAGATTGTTAGTTTATAATTATTGCTGAATACATCTATAATTTAACAGATACTTCTATGAAAACACCAATTGCAGCGAATACAATTATAAGATAATGCATGTGAAACCGGAAAAAGACGTTCGTAATTTTGTTTGTGATCGATGTGCTTTTACTTATCGATATTATAGGCATCACCCGTTATAGAGGTATTAATCACCCGTATAAGATCAGACCAATGCAACAGCTTCTCGTGCCAATTATTTCAAATATTCTTTTTTTCGACGTTACGTTAGTGAATGGAACTCTTTATCAGGAGAAGTCGTATATTCATCTAATTTTAAGCTATCTAAAATTTCTATATCTTATATATATTTCTTATCTATATCTATTTATAAAGATGTTTCTTACTTACCTGATCTATTGCTTTGCCATCTATAGATGGTCTATAGTTCGAAACCAGCAAACACTATCAAAACTTAGTGGTAAGCCAAAAACTAGACTGAGAATCAAATGCGCAGTATTATATAAATAGATCTTTATTTCCGCACAGGGTTAGCCAATTAACTCGTTAGACATCAATTTAAGATGACACTCGCATATTTAACTCCCCTCGTAGTCCTTATGTGGCCTTTCATCCATTGAACAGATACCTCATGAATAAAATATCTTATTTAACCCATACTTTTTAAATATCAAAATAAAATAAGTGTAAATCAGTTAAAAGGAAAGGAAATGTTAGCTTACTTTGGTGGAAGAAAGCCCGACTTCATTTCGTTATTTAATGGTTCGATTCCCTTACGTAAGTTCATCCTGTCGCTTGTGATTTATCATTGCATGAAGCATGAACAATATTCGATATAAGGTCATATTAATCAAGCGTAATATTATTAAGAACAATTAATTCAATTCAACAAAAGTGACAATATCACTAAAATTTTCAAAAGAAGGAAAGTCAATATACGTGACGACACAGCGGCCATGTTGGTGTACAAAAACAATACATTTTCTATCCTCCGGGAATTGAGCTCTATTTTTATATAAAGTTTATACAAAGTAAAAAGGTGTCTTAAAGTTGAAATTTTTCAGTGCTTTTCAGACGTAAACCGATTTTCTAAAACCATAAATGTAGCTGTATTCAAAATAACCCTTCAATTGTTATCGATAGCCCTGAAATAACCTCCGGCCTGATTGAAGTCA